ATCGATAAAAAAACTGTAACTTTGTGCTATTAAACTAATGACCTGTACACTTTTACTGTTACAGATGTTGTATTTAAACTATAAAAGAAATTAATTATTACTATTCAATAAGAGCAATTTGTCTTGTTACCGATATAAAGGAATTGATCAGAGTTAGACAACTATTGAAAATATTAAAACAATGGATATTTGTTACACTCCAGTATAGGACTTCTCGGTACGTGATACTGAAAGAAATGAGTTTCTTTTTTCTCCGCTGTGGATGTGAATGGACATTCCTGAAGAATTCCGTACTAGAAAAATACAGTTATTTATTGTTTTCAGGTTTTTAATAGTTTTCAGACTTGGGTCGATTCATGTTCTTAGTAATATAAATAGAAGTCTTCACAAACCCCTGTACTAATTAGGTGGGTTGTGTTTCCTATGTATACTTGTACGGTTTAGATACTTGAATTTTCACTATCTTATTGCTGCTTGAAAAATTCTTCTGACAAACATAAACAGGTAGACATATAGATAGAAAGAAATTGCAGTACTCATTACAATAACTAAGAGAAATAAACCACATGATAAAAATCCAGAAAAATTAACGACAATAACAGTAATAATCATATTAGAAGAACAAAGTTAAGGTAGAAAAAATGTTTAGATACTTAAAGTTCACAAGAAGTCAGAATAAATGTATATCTTACTGCAAATGACTTTGAATCGTACACTTATATCCTCGAAATAACAATTAAAGTTATCCTTCGGATCCCAAATGAGATACTATGCCTCAAACAGCTTAAAATACAGTTACGAACTTCAGGTTATCACACAATGTATTTATGCAATCAATCTGCTTTGTTTATTGTGAACAGTAGTTAAATAGTATCGATAGCTAGAATGTAATAAGTGGCAATCTCATATATGAATCTGCACATAGGTAATCAATTGCAAACTGATTTTCGATTGAAATTAAAAGCCGTCAATTAAACTAAATATGTTTAAAAGGTACCAATACAATAAGATTGAAGAAATCTGAATTCAGTGAATAAAATTCAAGTTATTACAATGACAAGGAAGAGTAAGGAGACCTTTCAAACACTTTATCCCAACCATTGCAAACATAAATATTCTATTGTAAATGTGAAAAATCAGTGTTGCTGTATTGAGGAAAACCCGACCAGAAATATATCTCATGAAAAAAAGAAATCACCATCGATTATAATGAATTTCTGTTACACAAAACTATTCTGCGTGAACTCTACTTATGAGGCCGGTGGACACCGTGAGTCCACCTAGGAGTGTTGGAAAACCCCGATTCCAAACCAATGGTGCACATGGGATGGCTCCAGTATCCTGAAGGAACAAATGGTGTATGAACCAATTGTTGGACACCGGCTACTATGGGACTGCCTTGTGGATCAGACCCTCAGGTCGAAGTTTCCAGGTGTGGCTCCTTAAGAAAACCACCTGGTTCGGTTTGGGCACCAGGGAAGTATTACAGCCCTCGCACATATCAAATAAGATTGTGTGGCGCATACCTATTTGGTGCCTCCTTGTACCAATATCTATGTGTTAAAATAAATAAATAAAACTACTTATGGACTTTTAACATATTTTTACCATTATTTGTGGTTATTGACAAATATCCATTTCATACAATCTAAGCATTACACCTGATATATGATTGGCTAACTGAAATTAATTTTTATTCATACTGTGGTTATCATCAATAAACCTTCTAGTATTCAACTAAACTTTTTACTGTAGTTAGACGAGAAGGGGAGAAGAGGACAAAAGGCTCGTTCGCTGCATTAAAGTTGGAGTTGTGAAATATTAGCATAGCATATGAGCTCATCAGACTATAAATCTCAACCTCATTTTGACTTGGAGACGTGCCGTCAATCCTAAAACAGAGGATATTTCGACGTATAACATAGACTAGAATATCAATAAGTTCGAAACAACCTTAGTAAATCCGTTTCAAGAATTGATAGTTCATGAAAATGGTTTGAGCAGCGTTAAGTTATGATTTAGATTTCTCGAGTTAAAAATCAGTTACTAAAGATTTTATATGATGTCTGTCAGAACCTACTACTGTTATTTTTTGTGTCCTTTTTAGGCTAATTTCAGTTCATTAGAATTAGGATATCAATAAGTGAGGTTTGTGAGGTCATCACTGACTGAATTGCATTAACTCCTTATTGTTGTTTAGGGAATTGATACAAGATAGTTTCGAAATGTTTGTATACAGTAGGATCAAAGTGTGTGTAAAAGATTCCAATTGAAACTGAAATCAGTCAGATTCTTCCATAAGCACTGTGCTGAGAAACCTGGCGTAGTAAAAGACCAAAATCTTGGATTAATTAGCCTTGCAGTAATTCTGAATTCTATTCTTGGAGTCGTTTTCGACGATAGACCGTTCTTTTAATTACTATTAGACTGAGACGCGTTGGTAGTTGAGGAATACGAGATTTGGTGAGGTTCGGCGACATGGCTCGAAATAGTTAGTAGTGACTCAAATGTATTCACTTTTTATTTTATCTGTAGACTTTGAACTTCAATGCACCATCATACGTGCCATTTCATTCGTTCTTTTTGAGCTGAATTCCCGATTTTTAATCTTCTTTAACATAATTGATAACACTATAATATTAACTTTTTTGTAATTTATCTTGCTAATTTTATGTCATTGCGCTAGCACGGTATGACATTTGAGATGAGGTACATTTGTCCTATCCCATACAATTATAATGACCAAGTGACCCACTGATCTAATGCATCTTTTCCAATCTGGTTAGTCGAGTAGGTGGATTGGATTCCTTTACTATAGATCATGTGGTTACATACCAGGTGAATAATAAATGACTGAAAAGCAGTCAAACTAATCCATATGGTTGTTTACCTTTCACTCTACTAGCTTGTTCCGAAAGTCTTTGTGCGCCCATCTTCTTTAAAAGTAATATCATCAACTATTGTAATATTTTACAGTGCTCAGGTTATGTTAGTGTATGAAATGAAACAGATAGAAATAAATAAATAAGCCTAGTTTTGCTCATTATAACCTTCAAACAACAGATTAATTTGTATTGGCTACAGACTTTCTATGAACCAGTCCATTCTGAGCATTTACACGTCTGATATACACCATGTCCTCCGACGTAGAACATTTAATACCAGTTTCGTGCTAGCAGAATAATGTTATGTGATATTCTGGTCTAGTTTTTTACAAGTGACGCACCAGTTTTAAGAATTAAGAACGCATGAAATACTAATTTAGCCATTTTCATAAACAATATCTACCGAGGACCAATTGTCGTTAGATGGTTTACAGCACCATAACAGTAAATCTCAATCGCTAATATTTACATTAGACAAGGTTATATTTTGTACTAAGAATATTCTTAATTGATAAACGTTAATTGTATTTACGCTATAAATGGCCGTCAATATATCAGTGTTACTTTATTTACATATCCGAGGAAACAAGATCATACAATCTACTTAATTCGTGTTGCCAAATTAAATACAGGTTAAGAATACTTCAAGTCGAACCAAACCTTACATAACCTGATTTTTCTGAAGGCGTTCAACGTTTCACAATTATTGAATGACAATTAACTTTCGAACCATGGAGATTACATTAGCTATTATAATTTTTCCAAAATTATTTTGTAATAAATTAAACCTTTCCTCAAGATGGCACAACAATTGAATAATACTAATCCATTTACACAGGCATTTCGACTGAAACCTTACATAAAATGAATAGTATCTTTACAGGAAGAGAATAGTAACCTGTCGCGATTTCTATCGCAATGATAACTTTGAAATCACCGAAGTCGTACGACTGATAGAAAAATTACCACTAATGTTGGTCAGTTGTCAAACAATAGCTAAACATCCTTTCATTCATCAATCATAGGCGATGAAGAAATTAGCATAATCATAAGTTTGGGCTGTCACACCTCATTAGTACAGAAACATAATGATCACGATAAATATCATGGTAATATAAGTATCAATAACATTAGCGTTTTTATTAGTGGTAGTGGTAGTAGTAAAAATGATCAAGTGAAAGAAAAACTAACTAAACGGTACTATTTCTGTGTACAATCAAATGAATCCTTGGACCTCCTTTCATATACGTTAAGTTTTTGACTATATGTAATCCCACCCATATAAAATGTGTTAAAAATGGAATTGAAAAGAAAAAAATGTTTATTCTTCACCCTTAATACTATAAGCATAGCTCCTGACTAGATTCACTCAGCGCTTGTATTTTATTTAACTAAAACAATATTCAGGTTTTCTCATCTGAACAAAAAGAAAACCGAAACCAACTTTACTTTGTACCACATAAGCCTTAAATGGATTAACATGGTTTATTTTAGAACATACTGATAATCTCTTACGCTAGCTGGAAGCTGACTTGCCTTACACGGACTACATGAAGTTAAAACTCGTTTCAAAGTAATGTAGAAAGTGAGGTGCTGTTAAGAACCTATCAAATTGACTGTACATTTCTATTGATCGTTGTGAGACCTTACTACTGCACTTTTCAAAACGAATAAACTAGGGTTATATGTATCTTGTTGGCAAGTAATTACTAAATTCCGCTAAAATAAATAATCTAGTGTTGCCGAGCTTCGAGACATTTTGATTGCTTTCAAACCAAACAGACTACTACCGTCTATGATGACACTGCATACGAAGCGCGAAGTATTCAATGGATTTATCCAAACCTCCCGGCATTTATAGCTTTATAAGCTGATACTGTTACTACAAAGCTTAGATACATGAACCTTAACGTTTTAACGGGAAGAATCAATTTACAGTAGGGACTTTAACATAAACACAAACGAACCACACTTGAATCGATAATCCATAACTAAGGAACAGTGAAAAATTATCTGATGAATTGTTTGTCAAGATTGATTACTTTGAATTCACGAAAAAACAGACATCTTAATGGCAACTATATTTGTACCATAAACAAACACCTTGTGTCTTACCATTTGAACAACTGCAAACCAACAACCTTGAGTTGTGGCAGTGTTAGTGAAGAGAAACACTATGTCGAGAAAAACACAAGTAACTTAAGTAAATATTGGTGAAACTAAACTAGTGACATGTTTTGTGTACGTTTTGTTCGCTCATAAGATGCTTTGTCATTGAAGAACTCTTGAGCGCTATTTGAAAATCCCAATTGTTTATTACGCATCAAGACTAAATTTTTCAGCCTATTTTGATTCACTAAAAATGGCACCTGGAATATCATTGTTCATAAAGGACTACTTTGTCACTAGTACTTTTTCAGTGCATTTGTTATTTCAATTCATTTTTGCACTGATTGAGACCTCTCACTTATATTTAGAAATGCAATCGACCGGTTTTTTGGCATATGAGCATCCAGCACGTGGTTTGTTTGTCGCACTTTGTGATCCAACGTTTTAGCTTTCATCTTTTGTCGTCAAATTTCGTCTCTTTGTGTTTTCCTGTGTCTAAATTTTCTGAAAACCTGTTGTGGATATAAACTTAATAAACCTATTTTGTAAATAGTTTTTGATATCTTTCGCATTTATTTCGCCAATTCTCACAATCTGTACATTTATCATTATTCGATTGTACTTGTTTAAGTATGTGACCTTGAACACTTACATCCTTCCGTTTTTTTAATCTCACGTAGCATGACATTGTTAACTGCTCATAATTAGATACATTCTTATACATACGTCTCTCGTTTTATCATGTTTGTGGATATGATAACGGAAGGATTAATTAGCTATCATCTATATTTATAGACTTTTGTAACATTCACGTTACATTCTACGTTCGGATATACTACTGGGACATATCGTCTCATTGTAATTATTATTTACTTATAATTGTGGATTCTGGTACCAAATTCAACAGAACACGTACCAACCTGCTGGTTTAAGTAACGTCCCTAAACTTTTATTAGTGTTATTATCTTATGAGTTGTTTATTGATACATTAACTTTTGGACGTTATAACTTTATTGCTGTTTTTCGGTTATTATACTTTTTTGGTCCGCCACAATTATTTGGTGAGCCTCGTATTTATTCTGACTGTTGTATTGTTTTATTTTACACGACACGCTGGTTCATTTTTCATGCAATGTGCTCCCCAACCAGACTTATTGATATGGACCCTCCTCCAGTAACCACTTCAAGTGCAGTGTCAAACCGTACTAAAAAGATTCTAAGCCCAGTTAGTACTATCTCTGAATTCAGACTCCCAACATAGGTAACTAATAATCCCGGAGTCTGGTTTGCACAAATAAAAGCTTTATTCATGGCCAGAGGCATACGCTTACAAGCAACAAAGTACGCGTATGTTGTCACTTCACTACCCATTGAGGTTACTGCTGAGGTTGGGGACTTAATTGACCACGTGCTTGAGTCGGAACCATACGATAAGATAAAAGCGGTGGTAATTCAACATGCTTCACTCTTAGAAGAAGAAAGACTTCAACAATTGTTAACGTCTTGCGACCTGGAAGACAAGAAACCCTCCCAATTTCTTCGACACATGAAACAAATTGCGGGCCCATACAATTCGGATGAAGCATTCCTAAAACAAACCTGGTTTCAAGGATTACCACATAACGTTAGACAAATCCTTAGTATCTTGGGGAAATCAGTCACCCTAGATGATTTAGCCGACATTACGGACAAAATGATGGAAGCTTATCATGATAGTCACTACGCGAATTCTGTGCGACCACCTGGAGCAGCGGATATCAGTTGCTTAGCTTCTTTCCAAAGGCAGTTAACACAACTAACGAGTCAACTAGCGTCACTGCAGACGACAATAGCAAACGTTCAAGCTAGACAACAAAGATCCTCTTCTAGACGGGGATCGTTATCTCGGCAGCGTTCACATTTTCCTAAACAAACCTCCGAATCTTCTGGTATCATAACAAATACGTTACTAAAGCACGGCGTTGTACACGGCCGTGCACATTTCCTTCAACTGATACGGTGAATCAGTGAAACGGCCTGGCCAGACAGTGATGTCGGCGTCTGTTTCTGGCCACTATTCAAGCCGTCTTTTTCACATCAGGGATCAAATTTCTGGCTCAGACTTTTAAGTCGATACTAGCGCCGAAATCAGCGTCTTCCCACTACACCTCTCTCAACGACGGCACTCTGAATGTACTAAACTATCTCTCGTCGCGTCCAACAACACTGTCATTAGAACTTATGCAGAACAGCCATTAACCTTAGAATTCGGTCTCCGCAGAAGATTCACATGGATGTTTATCGTAGATGAAGTCAAACAACCCATTCTCAGAGCCGACTTCCTCAGTGCTCACAACCTACTAGTAGATATGGACAACAAGAAATTAATTTACAGGAACACGACTTTACAGGTCATCGGTATAATGACCTCTGGCTACCAAATTCATGGAGTTTGAATGATAAAACCTGCTGATATCATCTTAACCGACGTTTTGTCGAAATTTGAGTGCATCACCAGGGTGGGTTATCGAAACGAATGAATCACCCACCATGTACAACATCACACTGCTACCACAGGCCCTACAATGTGCGCCAGGTCAAGAAGAATGCCACCACCTAAGCTAACAGTTGCTAAGTGAGAATTCGTGCACATTTTGCAGCTAGACATTATTTGGCAGCCCATTGGCTTTCCCACTAGACGTGGTCCTCTGTGGAGACTACCACCGTTTAAACAACCTGACTATTCCGGATCGATACCCCATCCCTCACTTACACGACTCCTTTTTGACGCTACCTGGAAAACGGATATTTTCGAAGTTAAATCTAGTTCGAGCATATCATCAAATACCAATGGCACCTGAGGATAGTGAGAAAACAGCTATAATCACAGATTTTGACTTGTTTGAATTCTTGAGGATTCCTTTTGGACTAAAATACGCTGCTCAAACCTTCCAGAGATTCATGGACTAAGTAACTAGAGGTTTGGATTTTGTATTTGTCCATGTCGACGATGTTTTAGTCGCTAGTTCTTCCACTGAAGAACATGATCAACACTTACACACACTTTTCGAACGTTTCATAAGTTATGGTGTGGTAATCAATCCTCTATATTCGGCATCTCACTTCTGTAATTCCTGGGACATCAAATTGATTCTCAAGGAATCAAACCTCTTGAAGAAAAAGTCGAAGTTTTAGTCAATTTTCCTGAGCCCAAGTTGATATAGGCATTTCACCGACGTTTTCTCCCTTGCTGCGCGGCCATTTTGCAACCTTTGAGAGATTTACTGAAGACTGATAAAACCGCAGCTCAGACCAAAAAATAGAATACCTTCACGTTAACCTCCGAGTTCAGAGAACCTTTCTCTAAGGCGAAATTGATGATATCCAATGCTGCTATGCCACAGCTCCTAAATACCGATCTCAGAAAGCAACAGGAGCAGTATTACAACAGCGTTCTTTTCCGAACGATTATCGCCAAATCAAGAACGTTATGGGCTCCTCCAACATTGTCACAGACGCTCTATCTAGAAAGGATATCAAGATGATGGTACACGAGCACAACATTAGCCTCGAAGTTTAGCAAAACTTCAAATGAAGACGCAGATTTGGCGGCCTGCAAAGGGAAGTATAACTTGAATCTTAAACTTGTACCCATTCCTTTCTCAGATGCATCTATCATTTACGACACTTCAAAGGGCAATAATCGCCCTTTTTTCCCACAACCTTGTCGACGAAAAATATTTCAAAAGCTACATGGACTGTCGCATCCAGCCATCACAGCTACAACAAAGCTTATAACCGAAATTTTTGTTTGACCAAAAATCAAATCGGATGTTAAACATTGGACACGTGGCTGTTTACAGTGCCAATGCAGCAAGATCCAAAAACACACTATCAGCTCAATCGGGGAATTTTCTGTTACCGACAAACGTTTTTAAACATATTCATTTGGACTTAGTTGGACCCCTGCAATCGTCAAATTCCTTCACTCACATTCTCACTGCGGTGGACAGGTTTACAAGATGGGCTACAGCATGCTCTCTCAAAGACACTTCTGCTGATACAGTAGCATCCGTTCTCCTTGACCGCTGGATATCGAACTATGGAGCACCTTCGATAATCACCACAGATCATGGTCTCAAATTCCAATCCATTCTATTTCAGGAATTCACTAGACGTCTCCGGGTAAACCACATCGAAAAAACAGCTTATCACCCAGTAACTAAAGGCATGGTTGAAAAATTCCATCACCAACTGAAAAGCTCACTGAAGGCACAAGCTGACTCTTCAAAGTGGAGCGAGGCTTTACCGCTCGTACGTTTTGGGATTCGTTCAATTATTAAGGGAGACATCGGATGCGCTGCCGCCGAGTTAGTTTACGGTACAACTATTACAATAATAGGTCAATTAGTAGACTCAAACACATCAGTTCCAACGGACCCAAGCCGTTTCGCTAGTCAGCTACTGCAAACCATGCAAATAATCAAAGCCATACCGCCGTGGGAACATAATAATTGAACGGAACTTGACAAAAATCTAGAAACATGCAAATTCGTCTTCGTCCTAGTTGATGCTGTTAAAAAGCCACTGAAACAACCCTACGACGGACCATATCAAGTAATTAAAAGAACAAACAAACACTTCATATTCAACAAGAGTGGAAAGAAGAGTAGACGATCGCTACTAATAGAATAAAACCTGATTTCTACAACGCTGAACTAGATAAAGAAGATAGCACGACCCTTGATCAACCCATCCGACCAATCACTACTAGAGCAGGGGGGATGATAAACTGAACACCAAACCTACTTGTTTAACACGGTCAGGCAGAACTGTAGAGAAACCCAAGCGCTATGTACATTTTGCTCATTGAAAAATAAAATAAAAACAAACAAATTTCGATGTACTACACCAGTAAATTCATCCGATTTTTTTCCTTTTCGTAGTGTACATAATTAATCACATTTTCCCACAATTACTCGTTTTGTCACAGTTTTTGTTTTAGAATAGAAAAAATTCATTTTTGTCAC